TAATTGAATAAGGACGTCTGCAAATGATGGGGAAATAAAGCCAAATTCTAGGGAAAGGTGAGTTGGTGACTCAGCAGCTCCTACCCAGCGCGACACCTCAGGAGAGGAGCAGGGGACCGTGGTGAGGGACTGTGTACGGCAACGCCCCGTGAGACAGGGAGCGCGGAAGAGAGAGGAAGGGCGGGAGGCAGAGAGCATGGGCTTGAGCGCCGGGGAGAGGCTCACACAAGCCTCCGGGACAGCGGACGAGTGGGGAAGACCCAGGGTGGCCGCGGTGCCGGTGGCTGGGGCAGCTGCCAAGTAAGAGGGGTGTGAGAGGAGTGGGCAGACACTCGTCGTGTGCTGTCCAGCAGCTTCAGACATAGTGAACGGCACTCCATTCACGCCCCTGCCTGCTTATCGCGTCTGTTAGTTAAGTGTGTCCTGTCATGTCTGCTCTGAGTTCTAGGATTCAATGAAGAAAACTCAATTTTCTGTAAATTTCTGTTTGGGAAATGCTTTCTGATAGTGACGGCAATGGAAATATCAAGCAACCAAGGGAGATCTGAAGCTCACAGGGAGCCCAGGAAGCAGCAGTGTCCTTGAGTTAGGCCAGCAAGGGCCCTCAGCGGGCCAGCCCTCAGGCTGGAGTGCACTGGGGGCCAATCGGAGGGGCTCCTTCTGGGGTCCTGACTGTGGTTTCTGCCAGAGGTGAGGCAAGTTGGAATTGGATGTTGAGTGAGGTTTCAAAGAACTTAGAAGTCAAATGGGGAACAATAATCAAAGGCTTCCATTTTGAAGCTGAAACAACTCCAAATCCTTCTCTTTCACTAAGGGGAGAACATGAGCACCATGTCATTATCTTAGTTTACGGAGTTGCTGTTCCAAATGTTCTCGGGAGCATTAGTGCGCTAAGAGGGAACAGGGGATGGGAGCTCTGCCATTTCCAGTCACATAAAGGACAGAAATCCTTTTAATTATGACCATGCCAATCTACATCCTGCTAAAACAGCTAATTACATGTCAGAAGGACACTCACTCATTCAGAACAATTGCCATTATATTTTTATATATTCATTCTATGCCACCCTGCTCAATTACCATGGTTACAATTTGAAAAGATTCAGCCAAACCTTCATTTGATCACAGCACACCAATGTGAATTGGAGAGTTAATTATGGCTATACAGAGCCACTCTTACTTAAAAGAAGAGAAAATGAAAATGGGGAGTCCAGGGAACTGGCATCCCGAGACTTCTCAAGTATGAGCCGGGCTGCGCATCCCCACGCCGGCCGCACCGACCAAACGGAGGGCAGCTGAGCAGCGGCGGACACAGCTGTCCAGACCGGGGCCGACCAACCCTCAGACCAGCCACGGGAAAGGAGTGTCAGGAGAGGAGGAAGGTGCGGTGCCCCTGCAGCTGTGCCCCTCTGGGTGTGCTTAGGAGGCTGGCTGATGAGACAGACAGTGGGTGTAGCATGTGGGTGTTCAACTGTCTCATGGTGTCAAAATGCTTGTCACGTTTCACGTGAACAGAATCAACTAGATTCAGTTCTGCCACAAATGTCAGAGAAGAATGACTAAAAAGAGGCTCAGGGATCCACACGCCTGTAATCCCGAGGCGTCTACGTCACTGAGATAAGGAGCTGGCAAACCTTCCCTCCTCCCCTCCTGTGTCTCTTCCTGTCTTGATTTAAAACCAAGCCTGTGTTAAAGGAGACTGGAGTTTTCAGATTCTTAGCTTGCTTTTTGCTGCCATTTCTAATCCTCACCAAGAAAGAATAACAAAGCCAATACTGAAACTCTCAATATACAAACTTCCAGGTTTGAAAATTATACACAGATCTGAACAAAGTTACCTTTCTGAGGTGGGCGAGTCAACCACTGGCCTGCGAGGTCACAAGACAGTAGCTTATCACTTGCAGTTTATATATAGAACCGAGAGCAGCCTTTCCAAACACAGCCTGCATGTGAGAGGACTTTCCGTCATCAGAAAACTGACTTGTTGGCTTGCATCTGAGAATCCTTTCCGACCACCTTAGTATGCTAGTTCTCCGGAGAGTGGTGAGGAAATCTTTCTTTTAAAGTGACAGTCATCTTTGAAACCAAGCATGCATAAAGAAGTAAGAGTACATTACAGGAAAAGGAAGGCCCTCTGCTCTGACCGCACATCACCTTGACATCCTGACAGCTGACCTGGCCATGCGCAGCTGCTTCTCCAGGAAAGCCTTCCACTCTCAGGGAACACAGCATTGGATAACACAGGTATTCCTAATACGGAAATGAAGAAACAGTAAGACGGCTTTCAGGGCATGCAGCTCAGTTTGCCAGACTCAACATGGCTGACATGATCCCCAAATCCCAAGGAAACATCCTTGCTATTTAATGAGTACACGCAAAAAAAAAAAAAAAAAAAAGGAATGCCTTCTGTGTGTCAATTCCCACCCCTGCCCCAGGACATCCCCCTAGTCCATGCCACACTCCCCAAAGATACAGCAGGAGCTAGGCAATGTGCCCAACATTCACTGGGAAATCTTGACGAATCAATCCGGCTCAGCAAAGCTATAAATGGATTTGGGTGGTCTCAGCGCAGCCCCAAGGAATACAGTAGTAAAACATGACTAACAATCACAACGAAATGACAAAAGTCTATCATCACTCTGACATGATTCAGGTCACAGAGACTGACACAGAAACCAAGGCGCAATGGCATGGGTTGGGTTCTTCAGTGTAGTGTGGTACTGAGCACAGGATCATCAACAAGAAAAATTATTGCCTAAGAATCTGTGGAGACATCTGGGGGAGGAAACACGCTGGTTTTTCTCTGAACAACAAAAGACAAAAAGCAATTTTAAAAGGCAGAGCCACAAATTAAATGGAAAGACTGCTTCTAACCAAACTCTTCTTAAGACCAGAGAGTAAAGACTTAAGAGTTCACATTTGTAGGACGGGGATGGGAAGGAGGGAGAACATTTGTGGAAAAGGGATCATTTCCACAGTTGAGGGCAGAGATGATGACGCTGGTCAGTGGAATATGTAGCTGGTCAAGACGAGGAGAAGTGTTTGTGTGAAGACATGGACCACACACAGCTATTTTTTTTCCCTGCTTTAACAAGATTAGAAAATTCCAGCAAAGAAGTCAGCTGAAGACCTAGTCAGAGGGAGACAAAAGAGAAGCTGTTCAGACAGACAGAATAAGGCTGGAGACTCCTGATCCAATGAGTCTGTTTATACTTGGTGCCTGATGATTGATACCCAAGGGAGAAGTTTGTAAAGCCAATATTTCTTAAAAGCCAAGCGTTAAACAGGCAGAAGGGAAACAATTATATTGGTGAATTCTTCAGTCATCTCCTTTGAGGTAAAATATATCTGGATACATGGACCTAACAGAGGTGGTGGTGATCACTGAACTGGCTGTCACCATAAATCTACCAAGAACTACAGAACTTGACATGGACACTTTAGCATTTACGATTTTCCTCCTCCCTGCCCCAGGTTCCTTGTTCCTGTGAGGGGCCATGGGAATGTGAATATGGGGGTGGGGTGAGAGGACTGACCTTGTGAGTGACAGGGGTGGGAACTGTTCAAAGTCATAGGTGGGTGGAAGGCAACTACCTTTACTAACCACTTAAAGAACTGTGATTGTGATTGTAAAGAAAATTGCCATAAGGGTATTTCAACTTTATAAACTTTGCTGAAAGAAACCAAAATGTCCATATGGGACTGAATGGCACTGAAGGCTTGAGATGAGAACACAGGGTGTTGCCCTCCCCAGCCTTCATCTGCTGTTGGGGTGATCAACAGATGAGCAGATCTCATCAAGATGACCCATTTTAAAAGGTCCTTGTGTCAGTGTTTTTAAAGGCTGGAAGTTTATCCATCTGACAATAGCAGTTCAATTAAAGTGTCTTTAAAGAAATAACAAATTACATGAATACCCGTTGGCAAGGTTTCCCCCACCACTTTAAAGGACTTTTCAAAGTCTTCCTGACTGGAAGGAGCCGCCCCTGTGGAGTCCCCAGGGCCTGAAGGAGGGAGAGAAGTCTGACGGGAGGGGCACAGACACGCAGACATCGAGAAGCACACAGCGTGAGTTACCTTCAGTAACAAGGAAGTTTAGGGTATCTATTTTAATTCCACCTCTAAAACCTGAAAAAGATTACAAGAAATATACTACCTAAAGATACTAGAAATGTAAGAGGAGCGATGACACACACCATTAGAAGAACAAAGGTGGCCTGGACAAGACAGCAGAATTGAACCTGGTGACAAACAGAAAACCAACAGTAGATTTAAATCTAGGCCCAAAGGAAGTAAATTCTCACTCTTGATGAAAAAGCAAAGGTGACATGTAAGGCAGTGGGTCTTCTCCAAAGACGACAAGGACTGTGGGTGGAAGATGCCTTCATCCTGTTTCCACTGAGCCCTACAGACATTCTCCTGCAGTGGCACAAATGTTCTTTCAGTTACACCACATTGCCAGATAGGGCCTGGTACTACCCTTCATGGACTCCAACTCGCCTTTATTCTCTGAAGCTTTTTTCCTCCCTTATAGGTGTTAAAACAATGAAACCTTTCAGTGCTTCTATGGAAATCTTTGTATTTCTTTAGCAACTGCAGCTGTCTTAACAGTTTGAGTCTGTTCCTTTAAAAAGACCAGCAAGAACAAATGATACTAGCAATCCCATCATAAAGAAGCTATCGATTATAATAATCTCCTTACAATCAATCACGAATGTGGCTTGTCGGAGAGTGGATTTTTTTCTCTGTCTCCTTGTTCTTTCCGATTCAATTGAGAATAAGCAGACAAAATTCCACCAAAATGGAAATATTTCCTCTAAGCCAAATAAAAGGAAAGAAAGATAACGCAATCTCCTAATTGAAATAAAAAGTCAGATAGACTAAGAAAGAATATGAGGGGAGAGGGAGGCTCATTCCTGAGAATAACAAATGCTACTCTTAAATTTGTTGGTTCAAGTAATACAGTAAAACAGAAGAGACGGCTCTGCTTTACTTCAAAATGCTTGGAAGCTGGAAAAAGTACATATATTTTTCCCCCTGAAATCCATGGACAAGAGCAGGACCAGGCCCCGCATATAGCTCTTTATAGTCACAGACATATATAAGGTGGCACTTTCATGCTCTGGCAAAGACTCGCCTCACGCTCACATAAGCACGATTAACAGATAAGGAAATGATGCGGTCAGCATGTGCCTGAAGTGGAAGAAGGTCAGATAGAAACTGGCGGATACTCAGTATCTCCTGAATGAGAAAGGGAAAATTGAGGAAGGTCATTCAGTCTCTCATAGTTTTAAGTTGAATACATTTGGTAGAGGAGGACGGGTGAAGAGGTAAGGAAATGGCACCTTCCTTCTGTCTTAGAAATTGTTTTCGGGTAACGGACAGAAAGAAGCCCCGCGTAACAGCCAGCCCCACAGTCCCCTTTAAACACGGCTTCATTCTACACAGGAGGGACCGGATGAGGCAGAAAATACATAGCAGTTGTGCCTCTTTCAGATGCACCCTGTGCTGCTACATTGAAGGCTCTTTCCTCTTACCCACAGTGACAGTGTGTCATTTAATCGGGATGCCAAGAGATCATTTTCATACAAGACCAGCAGATGTAATTTTCTTTGATGCATGAATAGTTCATCATTTTGCTACTAGATGACAAGGTGATCACAGGGTGACTTTAGAACACAAGTTCGCTGTTTGGTATTTTTGAGTTCTCAAAATGAAAAAAAGATTTATCAAATATAAATATCTTTAAAAAGTAACAAAAGTGCTACATATGTGATCAAGGAAAAAAATTCCATTAGTTACTGCCGCTTAAAGTAGATTAAACTTTACAAATATTACCAAATCCATTATCAATATGGCTTCCAATTATTAAATAAATTGCCTGTAGCAATACAGCTTTTCACGTCTCTCCAAGGACAGAGTAAAGAGAACAGCAAAGCAGTCCCATCCTGTTGTTCTGGTACAGCCACAATGTGAGTGGGAAGCGTCCCCTGCTTTTCTCTGCTCCTATCTGGGCAAGCATCTGCATCTGTGACAGGCAGCATGACCCCACTATGAAGTCCTCTAGCGACCTCTCAGATTGAAGGGGCTTCAGTTTAATGGATACAAACACTGCAAGTTTTTTCACTCATTTTTGACCTTAGCTCCATCCTTGAAAGATTTTTTTTGGTAGCAGGGAAAGGGGACACCGACAGGAGGCAAAGCAACTTCCACGATGACCTCCAAAACTTTTCCAGGCAGGCACTGCTAACTGTGCCGCGGAATGTGCAGTGGTTCTGAAAACTGGACTTTAGCATCCATCAGACATTCAGCTCATATTTTTTTCCCAATGCTCTCAACCTGGGTTTTTTTTTTTTTTTTTTATGACTTTTAGTTTTTGTTTTTAATCATGGTCCCAAAGGCAGAAGGCAGTATTTTATCTACTAAGTCACACAGCTTGTGAGAGAAAAGGATGTCTGTGTCAGGCATGTTAACTTCAAACAAAATGTGAGATTGACTTTTTCCATTGACATTCTTAGCACAGCACCCAAGAAGTATAATCTAGCCACAGCGTGGCTATAATGAGGCACGGCTTATTGCAGCTGGAAATCAATTATCCTCACGCTGAGGTGGGGATTCTAGTGTTCCTCTGACTCTGTGGATACTCCCCAAATGGTGTCTGTCATTCCTGTGCCACGACCTCAGCTTGCATCCTATCAGCCTTGGGGAAGGAAAAGGGGGTACAGACTAGTGTTACAAGAATCTAAAGGTACCCAAGATTTTACACGTAGTCTAATATTTGAGAACTGAGGGCTATCTAAATACCTGGAAGCACTTTCTTGGAATGCTAAGACGGAGCAGCAAGATGTTATAGCCTCGGGGGCTGGGAGAGGGAAGTTTGGTTGGTTGGTTGGTTATTATTTACTAGGAATTAATACTGAGAGAGTATATGCAAAGGCTGAGGGCACCATGCCATCTTCACAGAACAAGACCCTAACGGCTACCTGACATACAAGAAACTGCAAGTTATACTGTAAGAACACATGTTAAGGACCGAGGAAAGTCTGCTAAGGTGCTACGTCTAAACTAAGTTAACTTGTCGTGTTTAACCTCCCTGATCAGTCATCATCCAGGGCCTCTGTCTTGATTTCGTTGGCTCCTTGTCGGGCCAATGCCAATATAGTGTGGTTGACTGCTGCCATTTCCACAGCTAATGAGATGGGGTCTTGGTGGTCACTATGGCTCGTACTGTCATCCTAGATGTGCAGAAATAAGAAACAAATGTTATTATTAGTAGACTGGTAGAATTCTTTCGTCACAGAAATACATGCTGGGGCAAGGGGAGGCAGAACATTCATGGGAGGAAACTGGGGGAGCGGCTCATGATAGAACAGAGGTGAACTGTATTTAAGTAGACACTGAATGGATATAGGTCCAAAGATTTTCAGTTGATAATTTTATGATTCAACAAGTAAAAAGCACTAAAAATGTATTTCCTCATTGATAATTCTATTCATTCTATTAGAAAGATGGCTGGTGGTGATGATCAAACCTACAGTGATGGATGTAAAACCAACAATTTGGATCTTTCTGTTTGCAACAAATATAGCACTAATGACTGAAGGCCATACTAGTGAGCTATTAAATTCCAGATTGCTGCTCTTACAAACAGATTATTAGAATTCATGGTGTCTCTCTACTGAACTGAGAAAACTAGACAAAACTTACAATTACATCTTACAGATAAAAATGCATTTTTGTAAAAAAAAATAAAAATTCTCAATTATAACAGGACACAAGTATCACTGCTGGAAACGGCTACGGGAGAGAGGAGAAAGGTGCGGCACTCTCCTGGAGGCAGCTGTGCGAGGGAACGGCAGGCATCTTACCTAGAAGGAGTGTGAAGCTCTCCTCCCCGCGCAGCTCAATGTGTTAAACAATAAAGCTGTGAAGGAAGCTGGCATTGCAGGATGTACGTCAGGCACTGAAGTCGGTGTTACAAATAAGGGGTACATTTCTCACCTGTCATCTTCAGGGGAACTCTGTATCAAAGAGCTTTGGAAGGGGTAAGTCCCTTAGGGAAAAAACAAAACGTGGGATGTGCTGCCGTTAGGGCATCCGTAAAAAAAAAGATGGAAATGATCCATCTATGTGAGTGGATTGAAAAATAACAGGAATGTTTCTGAACAGAAAGACTTACAGAATATTCTCTTGGGGCTATGAAGTAGAGTCCTAAAGGGGAAAAAAAATGGTAGTTTTTCCGAAATTTGGACATCGTTTCTTTCTGCTGTTCACAGGTGGCTTTTAAGAATTTACAAAGGGATCAGCACAGACTCACATGCACTCTAGGTGTGTGATAAGCAGAGGCTTTTTTTTTTTTTTTTTGAGACGGAGTTTCGCTCTTGTTACCCAGGCTGGAGTGCAATGGCGCGATCTCGGCTCACCGCAACCTCCGCCTCCTGGGCTCAGGCAATTCTCCTGCCTCAGCCTCCTGAGTAGCTGGGATTACAGGCACGCACCACCATGCCCAGCTAACTTTTTGTATTTTTAGTAGAGACGGGGTTTCACCTTGTTGACCAGGATGGTCTCGATCTCTCGACCTCGTGATCCACCCGCCTCGGCCTCCCAAAGTGCTGGGATTACAGGCTTGAGCCACCGCGCCCGGCCTAAGCAGAGGCTTTTAAAGAATGCATTGGACTGTATGAGCTGGCTGGGGGGCAAGGAAAAAGCACAGATCCCAGAAAAAAAATCAGAAGTTTCCTTGCTGTGGTCTAGGGGAAGAAACCATGCATTCTCTTCATATTCCAAATGGAAATTTAAATCCTATCATCAAAATTGTAATGAAATCTGTCAACATTCATGTGGGGGTCGGGGGGGAACTCCCCCAGTCTTAGTTACTGAATTACTCCATGCAGTGGCTACAATTAAATACATTTTCCCCAAAAGCAATGCAGAATAAATCAGGGCAAGGCAAGGAGTCATGCAGGTATTGCACTTAGGAGACGATGCATGTGTCAGTGTGCCAGAGAGACTCTGGAAGAACCACTCCTTTGGGCAGGAGGGTTCCCACTGCAGTGGGGCTGGAGTGAGTGGGGCCTTCCATCGTGCCCTGTGTTGGTACATGTTTGGGCATGGGGCCCAGCTGCCCCTAGTACTTCTCAAACACTGAGTGTGTGTCGTGAATGGTGTAACTTGCTTGTTTGGATCAGATCCTCCTCTCTTCTTCTACCTTCTCTGCTTCTCTGCCTCCCTCTGAACTTCTTCCCTCCTCCTCCTCCCCATTGCGTACTTGCCAAGTATCCTGTTGTATGACAATAAATCCATGTGGGTGAATAACGATTTCTCACAAATTCAACAGGACAACTGAATCTTACCACATTTCTTTCAAATTACATGAAATCTAACTAGACACAGGAGCGGAGTGGAGGGACAGTGACTTTCCCCTCCCCCACCCCATCAGCCACACCCAGGAACTGAGCTGTCCCACTGTCCTCCTGCTCAGGCACCAAGAACCTCGACCAGATGCGCAGAGGCTCACCTGCTCAGAGTAGTCGTTCCCATCGACGTCGTCACTATTGGAATGGCCTCCTGGACTCTGAACATCTATCCCATGACTCTCCAGGATTGCTGCTTCTTCGAAAAAAGCAAATAGATCCCTAAATTATCTGTTACCGTATCATAATGGCTGAAACTCTGAATGTTTGTGCTGAGGAAATTAGAATGTAATTAAACAAGACCCTATATTTCTCTACACTTGTTTCTTTTAGACGTAGATGGCTGAAATTTGAGTGCATGTAGGTCAGGGGAGGCACACCTTTGCCATTCTGGGGTCTCTGCTGCTGTGCATATTAGGTACTTCATAAATAATTGCTAACTACACAGTTCTCTTATCTCGGGGTTCTATAAAGCCTATGAGAACTGTAATGATGAATAAAAAGTGTATTTAGAAACGAAACGAAATGCTGTCTGTCTATGCCCATACCATGCTCGATGCACCTGATCTCGTGTGATCTGAGAAGCTAAACTGGGTCGGGCCTGTTAGTACTTGGATGGGAGAAATAAATGCAATTTTAGAAGCTAAAATCCAACACCCCACCTGACTCACCAACTTAAATTTCTTTCTTATTGTTACAGTTTTGGATGAGAAAAAATTATTTCTTCCTTTGTCAGTTATATTCGTAATTCCCCCTAGGGCACTTTTGGCATTTTTTTTTTTCTCTGCTCAGCTTTGTTGAGATACAATTAATAAATAAAAATTGTATATATTTATGGCATATAAGGTGATGTTTTGGTACTTATGTGTGTGTGTGTGTGTGTGTGTGTGTGTATATATATATATATATATATATATATATATATATATATATATACATACAGATGATTACATCAAGAATTCCTACTTCTTAAATACTCTTTGTCTCTGTCTTTTGCTGCATTCCTTGTCTATTAGCTCTCTTTCATTCCAAATCATTAATCAATTGTTTCCTAATATCAAAGTCATGATCCAGTAATAATAAACAAATTTCGGGTTATCACATTGCCTTTCTTGAGACCCAACATACAAGTATCTTTAGTATATACCACAGGAGTAATCAATTGCTCAGGGGCCATGTATAATTCTATATTCTAAAATTTTAACAACAATGAGTTCTATAAATAATCATGTCATTACCATTACAATACAAATTGTGTCAATAAATACTAACTGTGGTTTATTAAAAACACAATGAAAGACATTAGGGCAATTTTTGTTAGGCTTAGAAGTTAGGATCCAGCCGGGCGCAGTGGCTCATGCCTATAATCCGAGCACTTTGGGAGGCTGAGGGGGGCAGATCACCTGAGGTCAGGAGTTGAAGACCAGCCTGACTGACACGGCAAAATCCCCGTCTCCACTAAAAATACAAAATTAGCTGGGCGTGGTGACGTATGCCTGTAATCCTAGCTCCTTGCGAGACTCAGGCAGGAGAATCACTTGAAACCAAGAGGCAGAGGTTGTGGTGAGCTGAGACTGCACCATTCCACTCCAGCCTGGGAAACAAGAGCGAAACTCCATCTCAAAGAAAAAAAAAAAAAAAGATCTTTTAGACTTGCAGTTTCTAAACTAAGTTAATCATAATATAAACAAACATGGCGTTCGAACTGCTACACGAGAGAGAAAAGCAGCCTCACTGATACATTACCAATATTGGCTCTCCTCTTGATCTCCTTCCTTCTGTTAGCAAACCAATTATATACTTTCAGGGAGGTAACTCTTTCCAGATCAGACAGTTTTTTACCTGTGAATACATGCAATAAAATTCAGATAATCTGTATTTGGGATCCAAGCATTAACTAGTTTTAAGGGATAATATTTTTATTTTGTTGCTTTTGATCACACTGCCAAAACCATTGATGCAGAGGGATTTTTAAAGTGTTATCTAGTACCAAGTATCCGCCCCAATTATTAAATCAATAAACATGTAAATGAACACAACAACAACAACTAGTAGCACAGCATGCTTCGATTTGGAAAGCCATACATATTAGAGATTTCCACAAAGTCATTGGCTAGGGTGCCAGATCCACGTTAGCATGACAGTACTATGTGGGCTTCATTTAATTACCATTATTATAGCAGAGTAAGTTATTCATTTTTTATTTTTTTTTGACACAGGGTCTCACTCTCTCACCCAGGCTGCAATGCAGTGGTGCAATTATAGCTCCCTGCAGCCTCGATCTTCTGGGCTCAAGTGATCCTCCCACCTCAGCCACCCGGGTAGCTGGGACTATGGGTCCAGGCCACCATGCCAGGCGAGGATCTCGCCATGTTGCCCAGGCTAGGCTCCAACTACTGGGCTCAAGTGAACTGCCCAACTTGGCCTCCCAAAGTGCTGGGATTCTAGGTGTGAGCCATCACACTGGCCCAAGATGAGTTATTCTTTATCATGTATCCAGACAAGAGAAATTTACTTACATCTTTAAGGCTTTATGTTAACTAGTTACCTGCTATCTTAGGACAGAAGATAGATATTATACATAGTTTCTTAAAGGCTGAAGGCCGCTGTGACTATCCATTATTGTAACTGGGTTGGAATACATAGTACAATTCAGGTTACATTTTAGATTTACCATCTTTGAGGTCCAATGTGATTTTTTTATGAATAGTATCATGCTTGCTAATACAGACCCCCCGTAACATTCCCTCCTCACCTTTCCTTTTGCATTTCGGATATTAATCCACAGTGGGTGAAGAAACCAGAAAGCAGGTTTGTTAGGGCCTTGATGATACAGGGGTAAAATGTTCCAGGTTGAGTTCAAGTTTCTGCACAACTTTAGGGCTGGGACTTTTGGCATGTTTGAAACAGGGTACAGATTCGTTTCACTTGTACGTCACTGAAGCAGAGTTTGTAGGGGGTCTACATTGTTAGAAGTCTGGCTTCTGGGTGAGGGAGAATGAAGGTCTGCTTGGTTTCTATAAAACACTAATACTTTTGTATGCAGCCTTTAAGCCAATCAAAATAAATGGCCACATGGAAGTTAACTGGATCTATTAACTGAGAATGGTTTCTGTTTAACAAAATCTGTAAAATGTGAAATAATATTTTAGCACAAGAAAGAAAACACATTTGAAACATTTAAGTAGGTTTGCTGACTTTGGAACAACAGGACTTCAGAATGGTACTGCCCCAAATCTTTCTTAGCTAAGCAGAAGTCATCTCAATGTGGAAAGCAGACAGAAACCATCTATCTGCTTTCCATATTGAAAAGAATTCTTTCCCCAAAGAGAAATACAGCATTCTATAATTTATAACAATTGTTTACAAAAGTCTATCTTAATCTTATATTGAAAAAGCTTGCTTAAATATTTAAAACTTTAACATTATTTCATAATTATTATCTTTTAGCTAAATTCTTAGAAAAAGAAATCTACACATTAAAAAAATAGTAATTTCAGCGTCTCATATTTCACATAGGGTTCCTCTCTGAAAACTCTCCAGGGTTAGCATTTGATTGTGAGTACCATAAAAACATCCCTCCGAAGTACTGTGTGAGCAGGACAGAGCACTGGCCACTTGCGGAAGGATGGCACACACTGAGCTGGGAGCACCATGCCAAGGAGCGCATGAGACTGAGCGTCCTAGACGCCGACCCGTAACCAAGCGCTGTGCTGCACCGCAGAGCAAGGCTGCGCCTGCGACCTTACCTGGCTTCTGTATAACCGCATTGCAAGCGTTTGCAATTTCTTCCCTCTTTGCTTCATCTGGGTATTGATTCTCGTTGAAGTAACTGCAGAGGCAACCGATGAAGACACGTTTTTATTTTTCAAACCTACTCTTATTGAAATACTAACTTGTTGAAAAATACGGTCCTGTAAGATGCCACACTCAAGTGTCTAGGTCCAGGCCGTCGAATGGAAGTTTCTGTCAGAGTAGAATCTTCTATGCTAGCCAGTATGGTGGCCACAATTCACAAATGGCTACAAGGAGGCTACTGTCAGTGATGGAATTTGAATTTTATTTAATTTTAACTAATTTAAATTTAGCTCCATGTGACTAGAGTCTATTATATGAGACAGAACAAGTCTACACACTGCTGTGCTTCATTAAAAGATGTGGTTTATATAAAGTTATTTTTGGTAAGCGTGACTAATTCAAGTCACATTTCTATTATTTAAGGACTGGTAATAATGAGACTTTTTTTTTTTTAATTGTCAAATTGTTTGTAATAGCAAAAACTGGAAATTGCCCAAGTGTCCATCAAGAAGAGAATGGCAGAACAAATTTGGGATGTCTATACTTATACACAGCTATTTAAAACTAGTAGGAAAAAGTAAGTTAAAGTTATGTCCACTGACCTGCAGAGATGTTTATGACATATTTCTAAGTGAGGAAAACTATCTGAAGAATAATGTTGAAAATGCCATTATTTTCAATATGGTTTTATACCAATAATAAGTGAAAATATCATTACAGAATTTAAAAATGCCTCTGTGTACATAAGTTTGCATAGATGAAAGCTGGAAGAGTACAGAGTAAGCTTAAATACCAGTTACTGATTTGTGGGGAGGGGGCTTAGTGGGAGGAATTTAAACATTTTTTTATTTGTTAAAATAAATGTTAAACATTTTCATTTATTAACCAAGTATATATTACCTTTGCACTTTTTAAAATATAATAGTACTTTCAAAAAAAGAACAGGTTTATTGAACCCATCCTTAGAATCCTCAGACCTGTGGGAATAGAATACTTATTAGTGCTGCTTTTTCAGTTACCCGTGAGTTTAAAAAAAGAACATTCAAGGCCGGGTGCGGTGGCTCATGCCTATACTCCCAGCACTTTGGGAGGCCGAGGCGGGTGGATCGCGAGGTCAGGACATCGAGATCATCTGGTCAACATGGTGAAACCCCATCTCTACTAAAAATACAAAAATTAGCTGGGCATGGTGGCGCATGCCTGTAATCCCAGCTGCTCGGGAGGCAAAGGCAGGAGAATTGCTTGAACCCAGGAGGCGGAGGTTGCGGTGAGCCGAGATCGCGCCACTGCACTCCAGCCTGGGTAACAAGAGCGAAACTCCGTCTCAAAAAAAGAAAAAGAAAAAGAGAAAAATAAAAGAACTTTCATGCTTTCAGCTTGGAAACTTCCAATCAGGAAATGAGCCCCTGTCAAATTCTAGCACCTATCATTTCTTCAGGGGTTTCCCTTTCCCTGTAATCCAGCCTTTCTTCTGCCTTCAGCACTCCTGTCTGCACTGGTGGAAATGCCATCCCACTGTGAACAGCACTGGAGGCCCCGGCCCTCCCTGAGGATCACATGCAAACCCAACTCCTAACACTACTCCTGTCACCAGCACTCCTCCTCGGAGGGCAGGCCTTCACTGCAGTTATTTATTTCACCTCAGCGATGCCTCACCTGATGCAGTCCTGACTCACAGCAACTGGCCCCACATAACCACCTTTTCCTGTGTAAAGCTAAGTCATATAGCTATATCATCCCAGTCTGTTCAACTACCACCCTCCACCATGCTCTTCTGCTTTATTTGAGCATCTCTTCCTGCATGATTTTTTGCTGTCATTTCTGGGACTCCAGTGTTCATACTGAGGATTTTTCCAAGTCACTTCCTTCATACCTGCTCCACTTCCACATTTCTAATGGCCTTTGTCTCTGCCCTACATCTGCTATTTACTTAGGCACAGATGCTGTGGATGAACTCGGAGACCAAACACGATGCCTGTCACCTCGGAGCCTGTCAGAATGGCAGAATCTCAGACCCCACCACAGACGTAATCAGAATCTGAATGTTAACAAGATTTCCAGGTTATCTAAATGCACAAGTCAGAACTTCAGAGATGTACTGGATTAGTTTATTTACACAAAATTCAACGAAAATGAAAAGCAGATACTAAGTACCTAATATGGGCCTGTCACTGTGGGTAAAGAAAGATGATATAGTTTCTGACTTCAAAGAGTTCACAGTCTACTGGAGAGAAACATACCAGTCAGTACCCTGTGGTGAAATGCCACAGGAGGTACAAACAGAGCACTTAGGGAGCACGATGAAGGCATGCTCCGTGTTGTTGGCAGGAGCCTGGGAAGGCACCGCTGAGTAGTATAGTCTGAGTTAGGTCTAGAGGAAGCGCAGGACGTTGCAAGGCAGAGAAGAGAAAGAGCATTTTATATAAAAGGGAATAGCACATGCAAAGGCAAAATGGTAGATAAAAGCTTTTGAGGATTCTGGGCAGAGAGAAGAGTTCAATGTGGCTAGAAAATGGGGCTTGTACCAGTCAACCATGAGATACTGGCCTGGAAAGGTGGGATGCGGCCAGCTTGTGAAGACCTTTGTCTGTTCCTTAAGAAGTAAAGACTTCATACTGAAATAAACAAGGTGCCTTAGAGGTTTCCAAGATAGACAGAGGTGTACTCCCATCTGTGCTTTAGAACTCACTTCATCTTTAAGGCTTACCCTCTGGAATTCTACCTCCATAATCTCAAATTCTGAAATTCCCCAATGAACTTTCTATTTACCTATGTCTCCTCTTCAAAGGAATGTGTTCTTCACCTCCTTCATTCTCTCTAACTACCCCCACCCAGCAGTTTTATAAAAAAACAAAACCTGTTTCTCACTCCTTTTGGGCCTCACCTCTCATTTCTTAGCCTGAACTCGACGGCATGCCAAATCAACAATTTCCCTTAGAAGAAACTTAGACTGTTCGGCTTTTCTGTCCTTCCACCGTACCTGTCCAGCCAATCTCCTACCCTGCAGAAAGCAACTTGCATTTGTTTTCTTCCATCCTTCTCTCAGGGCACCAAGCATTCCTGGACAAAGTCATAAAATAGGGCCGATTGGTTTTTTTTTTTTAAATAAATACACCCTTTTCAACCTTAATTGGGCCCCTCATTTCTGCTAAGAATTCTATTGGTCTTTTCTAACCAATTGCCTTTCCTATCCCATCTTTCCTACCCCACTTACCTGAAACCTTTGCACGCTTCTACCCCAAGCCCTCAAACCTACCACTGTCACTTTTGGTAGATGACCTTGCTTTCTCTGTTATGAAGACGGAGATTATTTAATATGAGTTAACTGCTTGGCTTCTAAACTTTTATACTGCCCTGAGCATTACTCATTCATTTCTGTCTTATGGTAGAGGAAGATACATGCATTCTCCTCCTCTTCAAGGTCAACTTCTCCACTTTTGTCTTTGATCTCATTCCCCTTCCTTTTATTTTCTCAATTCTCTCCTTTCTTTCCTGCATATCTCATCTTTCTCCTGTGCCCATACAAAGATCCAATGATCTTACTTCATTGTTTTTATAATATATATTTCTTCATTATAGTGATCTCTGAAGTCAGGACACGTTTTATAATTGGTGGTATCTTAAAATTAATTGGTGGTGTTTTGTCTCCCTTACTGGCACGTAAAATAAGGTGTGTCTTAGTTGCTAAGACCTACGGGTCCCTTTTAAGCAATAGCTCTTTGGCCAGTACAACTCATTGTGACAACTTTTCTTCCAAGTGACTACAAAGCCTGTGATGACACTGTACCCCCTCCAGTGCCTGATTAATATTCCTAAAGCACATCTCTACTCATTATCCTGTTCAGAAATTCTCAAAGGTATTATAGAGGTATTCAGAGTCCTCCCCCAAACCACCTCTGCATCTGCTACTCCCACATATGCATGCTGCCACCTACTGAACTCCTTGCATCTTGTACCTTTCTCTTTCAAATACACTGGCTATTTTCCTCCCCCATCCCCAGTGCAAATCTTATCTATCTTTCAGGGTACGGCTCAAATATCACCTCTTGGCCAATCAAAGGTATTTTTTTCCACCCCACGAATCCCACTGCACTTCATCTGTTCCTCTCTTACATCTCTTTCATCTTGTATTATAGTTATCACTGAATACATCTGTCTTCTACTACACTGAAAACCACCTGATGCCAGGGTACAAGTCTGACTCATCCTCACACGTACTGCTCACTAATGATAGTGCTGACGAGTCAATAATGATAGACAAAGGTACCATGAACCAGTGTGGGGGCCTCCAAAAGAAAAGGATCACACAGTAAATGAACTGCTAACAAGCAAGGGCACAGAGGTATTACAAAATGGCTCTTGAAGGATACATACTAAAGGGTTAGCAATGACTCTCTCCAAGAAGCAAAAGTGGTGGAGATGGGGGCAAAAACAGGAAACCATTGGTGGCAATTAAGTATGATTTTCACTTTTTCTTGGAGAAAGAAAAATTTAAAAAGTAATTTTTTGCCTTATATACTTCTCTGTTGAATTTCTGAAATAAACACATAATATTTTTATAAATTACTTTGGAGTCATTACCATATTTAAGAACTAGTTTAATGATTAATACAACTCTTGGACCAGCTAGAAAACATTAAGATTGTGATTGCTGTTCTCTTGACCAACAGATAAAGCCATGCTATCTCTGGATGCTAAATTAGAATTTGCAATTCTTCATGGTATATATGTTTTTTTTGGTACTGAGTTAAAAAGGTTGAAAATTAAATTTAATTAAAGATTAAAATTAATCTGTATTTTTAGGATCTGACGATATAAAATTAAGAAGACCAGAGTAAAAAAAGAAATCTGTAGCTTTTTCCAAATCAAGGCTCAAGAAAATAAGAATTGATTCAATATGGTTTTGAATCTCCAAGCCTGGTAACTACTTAATCCTTTCTTCTCTATTAAAGACCTGTTATTTTTGTAATTAAGAAATGTAGGCCTATTGAAAAATATGAATTTTCACTGAAATGTGCTACTGCAGCTGGAGGT